GCGCTGCACCAGGGAGCTCCACCATCCTCTAAGTTGCAGACCGCCTAGGAGCAAGTCAAGTGACGAGTTCGCCATCAGGCAGTTCGCCACCAGGGAGTTCATCACCAGGCAGTTCGCCACCAGGGAGCACTACCAGGCAGTTCGCCATCAGGCAGTTCGCCACCAGGCAGTTCGCCCCTAGGCAGTTCGCCACCAGGGAGCACTACCAGGCAGTTCGCCATCAGGCAGTTCACCACTAGGCAGTTCGCCCCCAGGCAATTCGCCACTAGGTAGCTCGCCACCAGGCAGTTCGTCACCAGGGAGCACTACCAGGCAGTTCGCTACCAGGCAGCTCACCACTGGGCAGTTCGCCATCAGGCAGTTCGCCACCAGGGAGTTCACCACTAGGCAGTTCGCCACCAGGCAGTTCGCCCCCAGGCAGTTCGCCACCAGGGAGCACCACCAGGCAGTTCGTCACCAAGTAGTTCTCCACCAGGGAGTTCGCCACCAAGTAGCTCATCGCCAAGGCACGTCACCACCGGGTCAAACAACGAGGTACTTAGCCAAAAAACTTATACATCACAAAAAATGGTACGTGACCAAAAACGGTCACATCAGTATATATGTTAATTTTGCATACATATATACATAAATATGGGTATACATATTTGCATAAATACATATATACACACACATATATAACTTTAGAGTAGGTTCATTGACCAACCCGAGTTCATCAAATTATAGTGCAGGCTGGGCTAGGGTTGGGAAAATTGGCTTTAACCTTGGGCTCGGTCCAAACCTGGGCCTTAAATCCAAATTTTAGGGTCAGGCCTGGATTGATCATAAACTTGGCCCAACCTGCCCATTTTGCACCCCTAATTACAACAAGGTAAATGGACAATGTAATTCTTACATGTTTGGTTGATATATAACGGAAGTAAAAAGAAAACATATTTAACGACCATTGGTCATCGTCATCTGCGTCTACCTTCGCTATCTTGGCCCTACAATGGGTAGTCTATTTTTAATTATTTCAAGCTGATATCCCATGATCCCAAAATCACCCTCCACCATTCGGAAACTCCAATTGCTTAGCGATAGCACCAGTGGTGGTGATAATAGTATTGACCAAGACGGCCTTAGAGTGAGTGAAAACCTTGAAAGGATTAGTAGAGAAATCAACCTTGTTCATAGTTTCGGTGAAGATTTCGGTGTTGAATCGAAGGGATTGGTTTCAATAGTGATCCACGAGCTTCATTCCAAGAATCCCTTCAAGGAAATCGGGGAAGTTCTCTGCATCGGAGGTGGTAGTGAGTTGACCTATAGGTGCTATGTCATTAGCCATTCATCCTTCAAAGAGGATGGGTTTGAG